TTAGGAGAAGTGTCACCGGCAGGTTGAGAGAGGGGATTCTGCCCCTGTATTCAGGACCGGTGAAACCACATCTGGAAGTACTGTGCCCAGTTCTGCCCCACCCCCGCCTGCCCTCCTCCTTCTTCCCCAGTAAAAGAGAGATATAGACATACAACTGGGAACAGTCCTGAGTGACCTGCTCTAGCTGAGCCCACTTCGAGCAGGAGGGTTGGACTAGGTGGTCTCCACAGGTCCCTTCCAGCCTCAGTTAGTCCATGAGTGTGTGATTCTGTGATATTTTTCAAATCACTATCTGACACTTACTTGTCCTGTGAGTGATGTTGAAGGAGTTTCAAGTAGGAATTTTCCCTCAGTACTTTCAAGCAAGCCACCACATTGAGGAAAAAATTGTCTTCATTTATCTCCAACTGTGGGAAGAGACAGATAATGTGACTGTTATAGGACATGAGTGAGGAATGAATTGGGCAGTATGAGAAAGAGAAAAGTCCCATGAGTCAAAAAAGGGTTCATCAAAAGACAAGCCAATGGAATACTTGTGGTTTTTTCCTCCCAGTTCTAAAGACCTTCAATTTTAGATATGACAGGAATGTTATCTGCAAGCCAAACAGAACATACAAGCAGGTCACAACCAATCTCTATCAGGCCAGCCACTCTAAATAGGAGACAGCATAAGCACTATAGAAGCACTAGATAAAGGTTCTCTGGGCCCATATGTTCTTGGAAAATGAACTGTAGGAAATGCGCATTACTCCAGAGGTCATAGCCTCTTAGCAGCAGACAAGATAGCAGTTGGTACAGGTAAGCTGCCAACAATGAGGCAGGCATGTTTACATTATATAGCTCACATTCTGGTATTCCAGGTTCACTTTGGCAGTCTGGAGTATGTGAGCTGGATAGCCAATCTCCACTTGTAGTTTGGAAACCTAAAAATCATAACAAACAAACAAATGAACAAAAAGAAGCATGACCAATAGGAGGTTTTACATTCTAGAAGTCCTTTTTAAACTCTGTTTCTAAACAACATAAACACAATCTATGAATCAGCCCTTCAAAATGACAGCTACTCTGTTTCAACAAGACATCTTCTCTTGCTACTCTGCTTTTTTAAGTCAATGACCTGAGGCCTAATGTTGTTCTACTCTTCTTTTTCTTTATAGCATTATTTTCTGGCATTCAGCTTTATCGTTTTTAACCTCTCTAGGTGTATAAAGCTGAACTGTATCTCAATACAATTAGTTCAAAGTATCCATGGACAAACAAACACTGAGCCTTTCTATGTCTGCACATCAATGTATGATCATACGTGTGTGATGGCACTTATAAAACCACCTACAATTTTCAGTGTATATAAGATATCTATTTAAGATTGTGTGCCTATAGAAGCAGGTAGGAATATGTGAAGGTGCAGGCCCCTTCCATTCCTTCTCCAAAGGCTTCAGGGAAAGGAAGGCCTCAGTAACTTCTGCTTTCTGCACGCACCAACGCTTTAGCCTCTTGGCGAGTCTGTTCATCCATCCACTCCAACTGATCCAGTTGGCCATAGAGGGCATCTTGAATCTCGGAGAACATTTGCTCAGCCTGCCATGGAGAAAAGAAGGCATGGTCAGAACTGCAGAAAAACATTGTTCAGGCTTAGCTACCATCTTTCTATGTTCCAGCAATTCAACCACAGAATAACTGGGGGAAAATTCCTTTTCTTGTGATGAAAGAGGAGATTTCAGCTTCTACAATGATTTAGGCTTAAGCTATTTCGCATCCAGTCATTCCTTACAAGGCTCACCATTCTCTCCCACACACCTGTTCATCTTGCCTCTCATGATAACTAAGAGGGAAACATGATTCTTTTTCATTCAATCCCTGTTGGGATAGGAATGGACCAAAAGATTGCCCCACTGCTTGAGTGAAATGAAAATTCAGTATCCACAATTATTTCATGCTGGTGTCTCCCTTTCCAAAGTTATGGCAATCTGAGTCTCTCCTTCGCAAAATGATGTTTTGTGCATTCAGCTTTGTGCTTCACTACACATAGTCTTAGTTTTCCATTAACTTTTCTTGGGGTTATTTACTCTTGTTACTTTATATACTGCAAACTTTGTAAAACCTTGTGCCTACACTAATTTCCCTCAAAAGAAAAAGGAACTCTGATCATCAAAGGAAAAAAAAGAAATCTTTTCCATGCTGCTGGCAGGTGTTCCTTTTACTGTGGATCCACTGAGAACGTTTTGGCATTGATTTGTTTCTGTACAACTGGTCATATGATGGCTTAATTGCTTGGCAATTGAAAATCTTATTTAAATATGTCAGATTGGTAATGAATACTGTTAATACTAACTGTCATTCCAGGAAGCACACTGAGGTTGCATTTGTAGGGCTGTCATAGGTACTTGTGCTGCACAGATGACTTTGCTAACAGTTGAGATAAAGATAATAACTGGTATTTTAGCATTGATTATTCTAGCAAGGACAGCAATGTCTTGTTCTGACATCTTTCATTCCCAAAAAAGGAGGGCAAGTACGTAAGTACAGGAATCTGTAAAAAGGTATGAAACCTACACATGATTTTGCTGCCTTGATACGGTCTTAAGTTGGCATGTCAAAAAAGAAAGCGATGAAGGTGAGCTCTGCTTGGGGATTAAGAGGATGAGTACCTACAAGTTTCTTGGTCTGCTGAGGGAAAATTTCTTGCACGATCATCTGCCCTAGAACTGGCTCAAAGAAAGAGCTGGTATCAGTCAAGCACTTCCTCCAGCGCTCAGCTGGGTTCTGTAAGAACAGAGAAAGAAATAGAGACACATGAGAGTGAGGACAAAGAGATAGGAAGACAGTAAAAAGATATGTAAACGTGCAGTCAGTAGTATATACGCTGCTATCTAAAAATGACAGCAGTGAATGATAAGAAATGTAGTTCTATTTAAGCTACTTCAGAGAACGTTAATCAAGTACAACATTGATTTCCTTATGATTTACTCCACTTACTTTCACACAAGATGAAGATTCATATGCTAGCTGAGACAAATACATAGAAGAAAGCTGACCATCTGTTGTCCCCTACCCCACAACACAGTGCATTTAACTCTCTAGAGTTTTGTGTGTCATGTCTACTCCCACATTTCTTTGAGAAAATGGAAAAATTTAATGGCCTAGTGAGAGTAGTTTTCCTCCCTAAATCTAAGAAACTACATCCAGACAAGGCATCAAGAGAATATCCAGAAGGCCTGCCCTAGGGTGTTCAGCTTCTGGGGAGGCTGAAGGTGATGGTTAAAGGCTAACTCACCATTTTAGATCCCATTTTTCCATACAGAATCTTAGATAGCTCCAGGCGTGCATCTTGGAATCGACTGTCAAGGGCTGGGGAGAGATTCCCAATCAGACAAACAATCATATAAATGTGAAGGACCCTGTAGGAAAATGACATTTTAAAAGACTGAAGATTGAAGGCTGGTGACTATAAACACGGAGGCGTGGCAAGTGTCAGCGGAATAATTTGAGGCAGAGGAACCCTAGTAACCTGAACAATGACAACAAAGTACTCTGCACGGGCTACACCTGGGGCTATCAAAGGAGGATGATTTGACATGAGTCAACCAAAGAAACTGTCTCCCCAAGAAGACTCAAGGGATAATTGCCTGCTGCGGCACAGGATTCTTTATGGGAAGCAGGAGAAAGAGCATTTTTAGGACTGGGTGAAACTTATTCTAGAATCTTTTGAGGCGTCTGTGGGATTCTGTGAGACTTATTATGGGATGTTTATGGGAAGGACCAAAGGCAGGGAAAGGGAAGGATCGTGGTGGATTGGGAGGGAACATGCATGGGAAAATGGAGGGGAAGAGTGGTAAGAGGGAACGGTTGAATGTAAGCTTGTGGCTTGCCAGGATGTCTGCCTGATTGAGCCCTGTACATGATCACCAGAATCTGTCCTATCTTATTAAATGCTATTCTTAAATAACATTCTACTCTCTGTGTGTGGGGTTGGGACTGGATACTGGAGAGACAAGGAGTCTGAGAGTTGACTACTGGAGGGACTTTGGTTTAAGCTAGCTGCTGGATAGAGCAGAGGTCTGAGAGTTGGCTATTGGAAAGACTAGCAGTTTGGACCAACTACTGGAAAGATCTGCTTGTAGATGCGTGCTTGTAACAGGAAGAGTCTGGAGTACCAGCAACCAAAATAGGGCTGCAAGACTCAGGGGCTCATACATCCAGCTGCAGGCAGCTGTGGACACAAGGGGATCTGGGACCAGCTTCTGGACAGACTGAATATCTAAGGCCAGCTATTGGAGTGATCCATATTGTGTGTGTACATATATATATTTCACTAGTATAGACCAATGCTGATCAGCTGGAGAGGAGGAATAGGATCAGGCTGTCTGAGCTGTTCATGTTTGTATGAGTGCCATGGATGGGTGGGTGCCAGTAAAGGCACTGTGCCCCATCTCTGTTGATCTGTGTGACACACACACACATATATATTTATATGTGTGTACATATATAGGGCGTGTATGTGCAAGCCTATTGGGAATATATGCTAAGCCTTAGCACTGGCTGAACCTGTGGATACAGAGCCACAGCAGCCTTGCAATTGTTAGGCCACTTGGTTTAGCCCTCTAAAAC